ACCTAGTCTCTCATCGTTAACGGATCATATATACATTACGGGGAAGTACGATCGTAATACTAAACTATATAAATATATCAAAATATAGTCGTAAAAAATGAAATATTGAGTGCGTATATATGCAATTTCGAATTTTTTGTCCTAGTATTGTAAAGTAAAATATTTTTACCCTCTAGCTGGTGTTGATGTTTTTGGTTCAACACCTCCTGATTGACGATAATGTCGTCGTTTATGTCGTTTGAGTATTTTAGTTGCCCATGGTGATGTTGATGAACGACGTTTTCCATCATTATCTAATGAGAAAAATTTTTATTCGAAATCAAAAAAAAAAAAAGAAAATATTGCATGTCTTACTTTTAATAGATTGTCGATGACCTGATGAGGAATGAGGACGTTTACGACCTATTAAATCAAATTCGAATGTATAAAATTCAATCAAAAAAAAAAAAAAAGATTTTCTACATGAGTGTTAGAATAATAAAATATGTTTTAAGACACACTTGAAAAAAAAATATGTATCAAGAGAAAAGAAAATCATCTGGTGCAACACACTGTTACCATTTATTTAGTTTTGTTCATCATGGTATAAATTATATATAAAATTGTTACTAAAAAATTTCTAAGATCAATTTCATGTTATAAACTAATATAAAAAATTAAAAAAAAACGTTTTGAAATCATCGAAAAAATTGAAATTTTTCAATTTAATAATCCATAAAAACAAAAAATAACTAATTATCAAATTTGTCTTCTAGACGTTTGTATTGTAGAGTCAATGTTTGTTTTTTAATCATCATCTCTCATTAGTTTCTAACGAATAAACGATATGTGCATATTATTGATGAAATATTTTCAAAGTTTCATAATCGAATTATTTATTCTTGAATGATCATTAACGAATGAAAGTTTATCTTCATGCTATTACTTCTCATCAGTGTTTTATCCCGAAATTTTTTTCCGGAGGGGCGATTTGAATTTCCGAGGGGGCGAAAAATTATTTTCGGGGGGGGGGGGGCAAGCCATGTATTCGTAGCACGATTATCACAAGCCTCGGGAGGGCGAACTCGATTTTCTGGGGGGGCACCCCTCTGGATAAAACACTGCTTCTCATGCTAGTACAACCTCATTGAGATTCTCTTCCATAATTTAATAAAAAAGTGAATGATAATGTTCATTATTCCAAGATGTTTTCTGCAATGTGTTGATTTCATCAATAAAATTTGAAAAATATTTCATTAGTTAGAAACAAGAGAAAGAAACCTGATACTATAGTTAATATATGTAAATAGTATATTCTAATACAATAAATAGGAAATATACAAGATTGTATAGAATTGATTGATGTACATTCAACAAAAGTGTCCTTTTTCAATTTTCATACCAATGAAAAAATATAAAAAATGATGACAATACGTAATTCAAAGCTTTTCCGTTAATATTTTAACATAAGTAGGATCTAATGAGATTAGAAAAAGTTTAATAGGATAAGAGTTCGTACGTGTTTCTTTCCGAGTTATTAACATTTTATCAGATTTATCACTCGGAATAGCAAATCTAGAAGAAACTCAAAGTACAAAATTTCGAACATAACTTTTTTTTCATATTTAGATTATGATGATCCTTCTCGTGACCTCACTATCATAATAAATATGAATACTTCTTTCTCGAGAGAATGAGTATTGAAGAAAAGTCAATTTTCATGGCATTCAGTACCATGAAGATGTTTTCTTTTTTGAAGACTCTATATCCCTCCCAAAAAAAAAGAAACATTCGTTTTGATTATGACATTGAGATTGCTATAGAAGTCATGTAATCGATATGTAATGCAATTTTAGTTTGAAATTCTGAATTGACAAATCTCTTATTTTAAGTGATCAATCTAATAGTAATATCCATAACTCGGAAAGGAAAGATCTACAAACTGTTATTCTTTTCAACTTTTTCTTATTTGATTCTATTTACAAACGTACGCTAATACTCATTGAGGAAAATTACTAGCTGTAAAAAGAAAAAAAAAGATTTTTCATTTGGAAATCCGAATCAAAATTTTGTTTTGTCGTAGTACGAGCATTAACTCCTGATTAATAAAGATTAATTTTTTCATAACATCATTTGTATGTTCAATAAATCAAATTTTCTTTTTCCATTTTTGACATATATGAAAGCAAAAAAAATTTTTGTTTTTTAGGAACAGCTTCTGTATCTTTACTAACAGATGAGAAATATATCAATAGAAAAGATCTGAGTCATTTGAGACGATTTCTTTCTCATGACAAATCTATTCTTTATTATACATCATCTATATAATGACGTAATTTGCAAATCTTTTATAACAAAATTAGTTTTCAACATTTTTCAATATTCCAAATAACTGATATTTATATTTTATTCATTAAAAATTCATCGAATAATACTTCTGATACATTTGTATATCAACAAATTTTTTTGTATCTTGTCATTCAACATATCTCTATAAGAGATAATTTCACACAAAGAGTAGTTTTCAAACTTTAGATTTTCATATTTGTTTTGTTTTTTTTGCTAAAGCTACAATTCTATCAAGTATAGATAAGTTCTATTATCGATGTTTTACCTGATGTTGAACTTCGATGACGTTTGGCAATATTATGTGAATCAGCTTCATCTCCATCATCATCATCTGCTTTTTCTTCACAAAGACGTTCATAAAGACGTGGAAGTACTGATTATATAAAGAAGAAAAAAAACATTATGATAAATATTCAATTCTTATTTTTTTTTTTTACCTTTTGTTTTCACTGTTGCTTTTGGTGCAAAATTACTTACAATTGATTGTGATGAACGATTAATATCTCTAAATAAAAAAATTGAAAATTACAAAAAAAAAAAAATCAAATCAAATATAAAATTTACAATTGATCATCATGTCGATTTGTTGGTGCTTCGGATAATGTTCTAATAAATTCAAAAAAAAAACCAAATTTTCAAAATTTCGTAAAAAAATAAAAAGTATTTCATTTTCATACTTATTTATTGTAATAATTGATGATTGTGATGGTGGATTTGTTAAATAAGCTTTTGTTAATAATGGTCGATAATATGGATCAATTGTCCATAATGAACGAGATTTAAGTAAATCACGTTTTGTTTTAACAAAACATGGTATTGTAATTAATGATTGTCGTAATAAATTTTTCCATCCACGTTTATTTGTTATATATTTAGCATTATTTTGTACATATTCATATAATTGTTTTATTGTTAATGACCATGATAAATGTTTTTCATCACGTTTAGAATAAAATCCAAGAAATATAATTATACCAAATGATGTTGTTGTTATTTTTGTATTTTCATTATCATAAGATTTTAATTCACTTATTAATTTTGCTAAACGATCTTCATCATTATTATTATTATTGTTTTGTTCTTGTTGTTGTTGTTGTTGTTGTTGGGATATTAATGGATTTTTAGTATTATTATTATTATCTTTATCTTTAATATTATTTGAAGTAAAATCATCTTTAAATTCTTTTAATTTAAATGTATTTAACCATTTTAATTCAGTTAAATCATCGGATGCATAAGTTTTTTGTAATGAATTTTTAATTGGTGATGAACTTGTTAATGATGCAAAACATGAACGACTTAAATATGGTTTTATAGGTGTTGAACGTATATTTGTATTTGTTGTTATAATATATTTTTTTTCTGATGATACTTTTGAAAAATGTGTTAATAAACTTCCATCCATAGAACTATTTTCATCATCACTTATACTTGTTGTTATACCTGTTATTTTAGCTGCTTGAGAATGTAAAAATGAATTTACATCTGTTTGACTTGCAACATTAAAAAGACTCGACGAGTCACATTCATCGTCTTCATTAGACATTTCGTTTTTAATTTTTTTTTTTTTTTTGTTATTAATTTATCTAGAAATATAAATAAGAGTTAAGGAAAAAAAAAAACAAAAGGTTTATGTATTAATATTAAAAACATAATCACATTTTTATTAATGTGACCTTTCTTTCTCTTTTTTCGTCCCATTTATTCATCAATCGGGAAAGAAAAGAAAAGTCATTCGCTTGACGATGACTACCATTTTGTTGCGATGTTTAAACCTTCATTTATATAGAATTTTTTTATAAAAAGTTTTTATTTTTTTTTAAATATTATTATATTTATTTGTTTTTGATTATTTAAAAGAATGTTTTTTTATAAGAATTTTTATTTGATTTTATTAAATCAATTAGTATATGAATGACATCTGTAGGATATAATCTTTATTAAACAAAGGATTTAAAAGTCTCAACTAAAAGATAATGATATGAGAACAATCAGAATCAAAAATAGGAATATATCAAATTTCGATTTTAATCTGTTGAACTATTGTTGTATAGAAGTTTTCTAATACAGAATCTTATATAACTTCAATCAATACAAAACGAATTCTTGAACACTATATATACAAGATATGATTTCTCAATATTATAATTCGAATGCCTTGATTTCAAAACAATACTGAATAAGTTCTAAAATTAACTATCAGCACATAAAATCATAATGAACACAATCTGAAATATGTTCATTTATTATCATAAAAATTTATTCACATTTGTTCAATTCTTTTTTTGTTTTCTTTCATGTATTGATATATATATATAACGTTGATATCAAAAGAAAATATTTAATTTTTAAAAATTTTATTTATCTTTTTTTTTTCAGTTAGTGAACACAACATATACAAACAAGCATATGAAGAAGCAAAAAAAAGAGAGAGAGAGAGAGACAAAAAAAGATGAATACAACAAAAAAGAGAAAAAAAAATGAACAAAACGAAACAACATTCTGGTTTCTTTATTTTTTTTTTTGTTTTTGGTAATACTAACTACAATATATGATGATTATGTACACACTAAATGATCTTCTATTTTCAAAAAAAAAACAATCATCGGAATCATTGTTATATATATTTATATAATATTTATAAATTGTGCCTTTTGTTTTGTTTCTTTTATTTATTTACCACCACCTTGTTTTTTATATTCGGCTACTTCACGATCATATCGTTCTTTTTCTGTTCGAGCTTTTTCTTCATAATGACGTTTTTTATCTTCACTTATTGAACGCCATCGTTCACCAATAAGTTTAGCAATATCAGCAACTGATAATGATGGATTATCTTTTTTTATTTTTGGTCGTTCATCTTGTGAAAATAAGAAAAATGTTGATAATGGACGTTTTGGTGCATTTGGATCTTTTTGTGATTTACTTACACGAGGCATTTTTCTAAAATATATTATTAAATTAAAATTCCCGCTTAACTATATATATATTTATTAGATTGGTTTTTAAAAGTTTTGTGCTTTTTTTTTTGCAACTGAAAATTTTTTTTTTTTTGTATATTAATTTATATTTCAAAAAAAATAAATTATTCTTCTATTAAAAATAAAAAATTATTCTTATTCTTAATTTTTTTTTTTAATAAATATACATACTGTAAAAAGTAGATGTCGTATTAATCGAGTAGACTGTATATATACTGCTTTGCTTGCTACTTGCTTGCTTGCTTGCTTGTCTTTTGCACAGTGTGTGTGTGTCAGTCAGTCAGTCAGCAATAGCTATATGTGTGTGTGTGTAGAGTGGTGGTGATGGTGAATATGAAAGGAGAGAGAAGAGCTTATGTGAAAGAGCAATAGCGCGAGTGTCTGCTTTCTCTTTCCTTTTGCGCTTAACGCTGTGTATGTATGCCGTCGTCGGCTATGCAATGTAGTTTGTGCGTATGTGTGTGAGAGCAAGCACAAACATATAGACAGACAAAGCACACACACACACACGCACATACATGTATATAGTAGCCATATATTTTCTTTCCTTTCTGATGCATGCTACTGCTTACGCTTACTTGTTATAGAAGAAAGAGAAGAGAAAAAAAAGAAAATTCTTGTTACCCTTGTTGCCTTACGCGAATGGCATATATATATATGCTTACAACTAACGTTCATTGTATGTAGACGAGAGTACAGGGCAAGTAACAGCCGATTCGATTTCCTTCTTATTCCTCCCGCTGCTGCCGTTATTGCACGCTACAACGATTCAAATGACAACGACAATCTACTGTAGAAGTATAAAGAAGTGGTGGAAAAGAACGACAGCAGTGGCAGTACTACTACTAGTTGATGTAGGAATAGTAGTGGCAGTATTAATAGGCATAAGAAGAAGAAGAAGAAGAAAAGGAGGAGGAAAAAAAAAAACGACATCGTCACCGTTATTTCTCAGACAATAATGACACATATAAATTGTGCATATTTTGTTTAAATCTTACTAAATTAAAAAAGAAAAATTCGTAATTGCTTAAACATAAAATTTTTTGTATGTTTCTTAATATGGGGTCTTCTCTATCAAGATAAATTACATATGTTCTAAATATAACTTATTAAAACGAATAATATATATATATTTGTACTCAATACAACGATGAGTTTCTTTCAAATCGAATAAAAAAAAAAAAAACAATTTATAAAATTGAAATAAATATAATATTAATCGTAAAGAATCATTCAAGAACAAAATATTTTGTAAAATTTCTATCAAATTAAATATCAACAATCAAATAAATATTATAATTTTAATAGAATCTTATAAAATTTAAATTTTTTTCTTGTATGTACAAAAGAATTAACTTTTTTTTTTTTCTCATCATCATTTTTCATAATGATCTTTTACCTATATTAAAAAAATAAATGGTTCTTACAATAACGAAAGATTTCTATATAGATATATAAAATCTATTAATCGAGAAAGATAAATAGTTCATTGATTATCACTATGATGGTTATAGAATTAGATTTATTCAATAGTTTTTCTTTGTCATTTCAAGAAATTTACATAAAACTTCTTTTTTTTGCAAATATTCTATGGGTTAAAATAGAGAACATTGGTTTCTATATGGATCATGAATATGATGAAACGATGTACGAGAATTTTTTTTTTTTCAAAAGGTGAATGAGCGCATATTACAAGTTGTAAACTTCAGGAAGTTGTAAAATTTTCTTTTTTTATTCTAATAAATACATTTGACTATTGCTGAGAAAAATGTACTTTCTTCCTATATTATTGAAACTAATGGTCATTTCAAAATAAAAAAAGCATGGCGGATGGGAATTTTATTAATAACTTTTGATAGAAAACAAGATAGAGAGCTGTGGTTTTGTATCTTTAGAAAAAGAAAAAGGGATGAAGATGCATTGAATCGTGTATCACAAATGCTTTTTGACTGAATATTTTTGCAGTTTTCAATCGACGTTTTTTTTTTTGAATTTTAACGTATACAGACAGATGATTATAGTAAATATTAAATTGTTCAGGTGTGCATACGAACTATCAATGGAAAATCTAAAAAGTTATGTAAGTCTCATATTTTTAGATTTTGTTATTCAAGAGTCATAAGTATTCTGGGTTTTAAGCAATTGCTATGGCAAAAGAACAGATTTTTACGGTTCATAAGAACCATTTTTCTAATACTGTTCTTTTATAAATTTGATTAAAAGAATTTCAGACAAAAAAAAGAAAAATCATAAGAGAATTTATATAATATATGATTCGATATGAATTCATCTTCCCTTTTCAATGTGGTGAAAATCGCAGTACTCTATCTTGTTTCTATCAAATGTTATTCAAAATATATTTACTCATCTATTTTTATTTTCAAATAAAAGCATTTGATCTCAATGAACACATTCTTAATTGATGATTTGAATATTGATAAACTACACATATATCTGGTAAATGTTAGATTTAATTTATTTGAAATCATAAAAAGAACATTAACACAAATTTAGTTAAGTATTAAAATCAATATAAGATAAAATGACTGTCTAGTTTTGTTTACATATAAGACATCTTCATTTGTTTTCATGATAAAATCTAAAAGATGTTTTAAAATGAATTGATAGTTTTACTTTCATTTATTCAAATTTAATTAGTATTTATTTTGAATTTCTTTGATTTAATCTTCTAATATTTTGACGTTGGTTATATATCATTATTAAAGTTAATAATCTAAAAATATTGTCAAATAAAAGTCAATCGAAAATAGAATTTATATAGATAAATAAGAATTATAATAATTCATTTTGGTAAAAATTTAACAGTATCTCTTGAGAATTTTTTAAATAAAATAAATCATGTTTTCTTTTAAAAATTTATTGTTAATATTATCGAATATTTGAAACACTTGTCTTTTGTAAGAAAATATTATGATGCATGCAATATATTCGATCGCGTCTTATTAAAAGTTCTATACATGTGTCAAGATCGAAGGTCTCATTAAATAGAATATGATAAATATTTTGAATCGTAATAGTATGTTACATTCTAAATTATCACTTTAGTAAAAGTTTGACATTAGCTGTCAAAAAGTTGATATTAACTAATTTTGACGCCGATGAATACGTGATTGATTTTTTTTTCTTCTTCTTTTTTTTTTTTTTTTTTTTGAAATCGAGTATATTAACAAAAACCTTAAAGTAATATGATATGTATATTACTCTGTTTCATTAATTAAAATAAGCATAGTGTGGTATGTAAGTTCGAATCATTCGCATAACAAATAAAAATCATATATAAACACATTAATTTTCACTTAAAATTTCATTTTTATATCATCAAGGTATTTAATGTCATAACTATCCTCCGATATATATGTATAATATAATATATAATATGTTTCAAATTCCAAATATATGACAAAATTTTTTTAAATGGTCTTATTTATTATTGTTATATAAAAAAGATGTAGACCTATGTATCTAATGATCTATTCTACGTGTTGAGTCATCTGTACGCAATCATTTGAATCAATCTATATGACGTTTCGAAGAGTTATGTGTATGAGTGCAAAACGCATGAAAAAATGTCTCGCCATTATCGTCCATATGAAAATATGAAACGCTTGTATACTCTCGATTCAATAAAATGTTTCAATTTAGGATATGGTCGGTCTTGTTGATTGCAGCACGCCCTTCTATTCTCTCTTTTTTCTTTTTTTTTTTTTCGTTGATGATAGATCATTTTCGCATTCAACATCATGCATTCATTCATTTTGAACGATAATCATCGTCAAAAACGAGAGAGACAGAGATAGAGAAAAAAGTAGATGTTCAATCAGGCAGAACCAAGAAAAAGAATAAAAAAAAAAAAAGAGAAAAAAAAAACTTCGTTCAAATGAGGGACTCACGAACGACAAACGCGTAATACGTATCATCATTATAGATAAAAAAAAAAAAAAGACATTTCATCGGAACATCTTCAATTTGACGCATCAAGATTTTTCATAATAGAAAATACTTTCTTTTTCCCTTACGCGACAATTATTATGGTAAGAAAGTATAGTATTTAGTTACCTGACATACTCTTTGTAAGATGTTCCATGTTATCTTTTTTCCAGTATTTATAAAAATGACTTTGAAAAAAAATTACCAATTAGTCAATATGTCAATCTTCACAAGAAAAACAAACTATAGTAACAAATTTTTTTTTCCATAGAGTCCTTGAGTATTACATATTTGATTATCAACATGTGTACATATTTATATTTTTTTTTCTTACTTATTTTCCTTTTATTCAATCTTTTACCTTTCAACTCAGTCGTCCGTGACATGTCTTTGCTTATCTAATACATGTAAAGCTATAGATATGCATATATCCATTTCCTTTTTTTTTTTTTTATCATCGTTATGTGCTAATAAATATGTATACATTATTCAAGTAGTCATTTATTAATTTTTTTTTCTTTACACAAATTGATTCAAATGGCACCTAAAGATATTGTCAACATTGATTGGGTATGTAAAGAAAATATCGAAAAAAAAAACCTCGAGTGAAGGATTTACTATATTATATATGAAAGTGTTAATCTTGTGTGACTTTATCTCATTGATACAAGGCTTAATCTATTGTCTAAAGGCAAATATATTGTATGAGAATAGGAAAAAAGGCGTAGATGATGACCATGATGTATTTTAGAAAATGAAAAAGAAAAAAAAAAAGAATCGATACAATTAGATACACATTTTTCATGAACATTATTTTATTTGTGAAATTGATTTTTTTTTTTTAGAATTATTTCTATTATCATTTAATTAAAATGGATAATGAACATGACGATGATGATGAAATTAATTTAACAGTAAGTTACATTTATCAGATAAAATTTGATAATTGAAATTTTCGTTTTTTTTTTTTTTTTGTGTAAGAATGTTTTACATTCTTCATCGATTGATTC